TGCATTTTGCAACAGCAGGGACCAAGGCAGTTCCCCTTATATAGCCACAAATAGTTCCCCTCTCAGCAGAAACAGGAAACCTTGAATCTTCTGGGCAGAATAGCTTAAAAATACAACCCCTTCCCCCGCAAACTCCTCCTCCGGGGAACATCAGCCTGCCTTTCTGTCCAGACACCTCTCACATGCAGATATTTGCCCTCCATCACTCCCCCCTTCCAAATAAACAAAGACGTTTCTTACCCGATGAACAACAGCAGAGGATATTGCAGCATGGACGCCCCTTCCTGTGCTGCAATCCATGGACAACACCCTTGGCACTCAGCCTGTTGGGGCCCTCTTCTGGCTGTATCTAGCTATCCCGACACTTCCGCAGTTTAGCTCTAATCATGGATTTTTACGTGGTGAGAGACCATCAGATACAGAAAACATCCTAGTCCCAGAGGGATCCACCCCTCTAATAGGAAGGTGTATGAGAAGACTGTGAGTGGTTTGGAGAGGGAGGCTCTGTCTATGATGTCTCTGGAGACTGGAAGGATGGTCTGAGAACTGATGTGTTTAGGATTTCTGTTCTAAGTGTATATGGCTATAGTTACCTTTACCATCTTTACCTTGGATGCAGCTCCTCCTTCCAAAGAAGTCAGAGATGCCAGCTGAAAAATTTAAGATCTGTTGTATCTCCCCTTGAACATGGGGAAACAGGATCTTCAGGGATGACCCATGCTGAAAAGGTAAGATATGAATTCAGCAATCCCAGCTAGAAAGACTTTCCCCCTGGCCTTTCTGAGCCAGTAGGCTTATGAACACCGTTCCTAGAGCAGTGGTGACAAAGCTGTAATACTTTAATGACACAGAGGAGAAAAATGTCTGAGAAATGGCAGACAAGGTTCTTTGGGTGAATCTGACATCTTTTATTAGACCAACTTATATAGTTGGAAAAAAATTGTCTCAGCAGGCTTTCAGGTTTAAAGCTGAAAGTCAGGCCGAGGATGTCTGCAGTTGGTGTGTGCTCTTCCTGGATGGCATGAATAGTAAAGAAGGTAGAGGCTGGGCTGGGCTGCATGTCTGACAGGCAGTCAGTGAAGATGTAAATTGAGGGGTCAGTGGGTGAGAGACAGGCTGGGGGGAACGGAGAGAGAAAGGGGATGAATGTAGGTAGCAGTTGGATAGTGGAGAGGTACCTGGGGAGTCAGATGTCAGGCAGGTTATAATGTGTCAGAAATCCAGTGTCTGTATTTAGTCTATAATTTTTTGTATCCAGGAGGCTGATGAAGTGAGGTTCATAGGCTCATGTGTGAGAAGTGTTTTGTAAGTTCCCTTTGAGGATCAGAACTGAGAGATTGGAGAGAGAGAGCGTGGTTTTCTTCTGAGAAATGTGCTCCCACCGGTAGTTGGGTATTCCTGTCTTCGATAGATGTCTGGTGTGCGTTCATTCTGGTGCGCAGTTGTTGTTTGGTCTCTCCTACGTATTTTCCTTCAGGGCATTTGGTGCATTGGATGAGATATATTACATTTCTGGAGGTGCAGAAGTAAGATCCTGGGATGCTGATGGCTCTGTTGTGGGGTGTAGTAATTGTGGGGGTGGTGGAGATGTGTTGGCAGGTTTTGCATTTTTTGTCCTGGCACGGTCTGGATCCATTAGGTGCTGTGTGAGACATGGAGACATAGAAACGTGATGTTCCTGACAGCTCTGAGAAATCGAATCCTTGTGTCCCTGTCCTAGGCTCTGAAGGGGTCACGGGTGGGAGGCACTACCGGGAGGTGGAGGAGGGAGACAGGACAGCCTGGGAGCTGGGCATGTGCACAGAGTCTGTGCATAGGAAAGGTGGGCTCACAGTGACACATGTGAATGGACACTGAGCCATCCAGCTGCAGGTTGGGGGATACAAGGCCAGAATTGCCCAAGGGTGATGCCATGAAGAAAGCAAGGAGCAGGGGAGATGGGTAAGAGCAGGCAGCCAACTGATTTCCATGGGGCGAAACAATCCTTGGCTTTTTTCCATGAGACATGGGAAGCAGTGATGTTCCATGTTCCTGCTGGGGATTCAGAGGCTGAGGTTGAGGCTTTCTATTCGGTAGATTGGCCTAAATACCAGAAGAGAAGGGGGAAAAGCCCAGCTTTGACCTGGGAGTTGTGCAGGGAGCCCAGGACTGTCATGCAAACAGCTAAGGGCATTGGTGTGGGCTGGAGACAGTGCTTGAAGCTGTGGCCACCTTAGCCAAAGCACAGGTTAAGGGCAGATCTTCTGGGGAGTCTGGGTCACTTGTGTCAGCTCCAGGAACTGGTCCATCCCTAGTTGGGTGGTTAAGTCAAGGTGAAGGGAAGGAAGGAAGCACCAGATGGCTCCCAGCACTTGCTTCCCTTGTTTGTGGATTTTAGGGAGCATGTAAAAAGTTCCTGGGCTGGTTAGTAGGGGTATTGAGGTCTGTAGTTTTTCTTGTAATTCTGATGGAAATGATTTAATGGTAATTTTGAGTTTCATGGTGAAAAGGGAAGTAGGATCTTCTTGTAGTTCTTTGTCGTAGGTGGTGTCAGAGAGTTGTCTGTTGGCTTCCTTTATGTAGCCTTCACAGTTTAGGATGACTATGGTTCCTCCTTTATCTGCTGGTTTTATTACTATTTGGTGGTTAGATTTTAGAGAGTCTATGGCCTTTCTCTCTGGTAGAGAGGTTGTTGTGGTGGCGTGTGTTGCTGATTATTTCATTGTTCATTCTTTCCATAAAGCAGTCAATGTAGCAGTCGAGGTTAGAGTTTCGTCCACTGTGAGGTGTCTAATCTGATTTGGGGGAGCTGGGGGGGGTCGACCTTTTCAAGGAAGTGTCAGCATCTTTTGTTATGCAGATTTCCTCTAAGGATCACCAGCTTAAAATTGAAACCCTGGGACCAAAAGTAGACACATTACCACAAGACTTCCCATAGACAGACTCCAGGTCTGAGTTGCAGAATCTGTAGAAAAGAGAGGAGATAATGTTACAAGAAATATACAGGGCTAAAGTGCCTGCTATGTTGAAGTGCTCCAAAAGCTTTCACAAACCATTAACTCAAAGGACAAAGAGATCCTCTTCCCCTCATTGCTGCTGGCTCCCAAAGTTCGGGGGCAACTACCAGGCACCCAGATGGCTTAGCCTTTTTGTACAGAAGAGAGGCATTTTGTTTCACTTGCTATTCCCCTGTGTGCTCCCAGGTACTTCAGCATGTGAAGGACCTGGTGCAGAAGGCAAGATGCGGGTGGGACCTGGAATGACAATCAGAAGGGTTTTGTACAGAACCTTATAGGAGAGAAGAACAGATCAGGAGCTGACCCCAGGGTGACAGGAGTAAGTGCTAATTCGCCCGTTTGGCCTCCTCAGAGAAGCCTTGAGGATGCTCTGCTGACTTGAATACATATGAAAACACACATGTATCACCCAGTGGGCTATATAACAGTGATCCCAAACCTCATACCCCAAGCAACCTCAGCACAGTGCTAAGCCAGAGGTGAACAACCCTGTGTGCGCTGTTGCTAGCTAGACCTGCATGCTGCTGTAAGGCCCCCGGTTGCTGCTGTAGGGCAGCTTTGAGCAATGGAGGTTTATAAAGACCTGGTTCGAATTCAAATGCTTTGGCCAGGAACTGTCTTTTTATTATGGGCATGTCCAATACAATGCGACTCCAGTCACTGATCAGGGCGTGTGGAAGTTACTATAACCCTAATAACGGATTAGTGCACTGCTCTGTGTGGGACTATTAATTAGATTAAATAAGATTTATTTTAATCAGTCTCCAGGTTATCAATGGCCTCTGGTTCCAGGAACACACAGCTCTGTTGTAGAAGCTGTTTGGAGTTTTGAAGGCTGGGAACAGCAGTTTGGGCTTCTGCGGGGAAAAAGCAGTTGCTGCATATTCCTGCAAAAGTATTGGGCAGAGAAGTACTGACCAATGTTGCCATCAGAATTGGTCAAAAAAGATTTCCATCAGGATATTTGCTGGCAAGTGCAAATTACATGGCAATGAACATTTCTGCAGGGAACATCCACTTTCCAAAATTCCTCACATTTTCATAGAAAACAAAACAGCAGCAGCCAAAAAACCCATATGGACACGTGCCAACACCCCTCCCGCAACAAACACAGAGAAAACTCCAAACCTGAAAACATCCCTGTTCAGCAGCGGATATACAAAATAATGACAACCAGCCAAACTATTTCATTTGTTAGATTCTGACAACTCTGTGTAGGGGGAGGCGGAGGGACTTGGTTGGTTTGGAGGTAGTAAATGGAAGAGTTAGTAAGAGAAGTTGCTGATTTATTACTACAGAGATATTTTAATTTTTTGCCATTTTTTTTACAAGGGATCCTATGGTTGTTCAGCTCGAGTGGACACTTGCACGCCAGTAGTTGACATTGAGCTTCACGGTCAACAACGACCTGAGAGTATGGATGGACATAACCGGTGTAGGAACAACAAAGAGTACCCTACAAGCTGTTATCACACGACTGTTATGTCTGCATGATTCTGTAGTGATAGAGGTGTGTTAAAACTGTTTCAACTTTAACCCTGCTTCATC